AGGTCAGCGGTTTCCAAACTTATTTAGCTGCGCACCGCCTTCTATGTCCCGAACGCACCCCCCAGCCCCCACATCAGGGCATGGATATCGATCGACAGAAAGGGTTAAAAAAAATATGATCGACCTTTTTCCCCATCACTTTCATTTTTGAAATAGTAATTAAAAAACATTCAATGCCATTACAAGTTCCTTTTATTTAATTTTAAATAAATATTTAGAGTGCCCAGGTAGCACATCAACAATGCAATTTAACGGTTTTCTTAAAGTAGGAACGTTTAACCTGCGGCCAGAGCTCTCTCCTTCCTTCTGCTATGCGTAAACCTGAACTGGTCACCTACTTATGCGTAATCAAATGTCTATAGGGGAAAAGATGGAAAAGATATAGCCATGAGGTTCACTTTTGCCTCAGACAGACTTATTGTTGTTTTATGGTGTGGATGAATCTGCGATCCACTGCCACGCGGACTGGAATAACAAATGCTGCAGTAACATGAGTTGTGGTCAGGTTCATGAGGAGTCACCAGAGGCAGTTTTACCAATAGGCATACGGCCGGCGGCCGCCTGTGGCCCCCTTGTGTTGGGGGGGCCCCCTAACCCTGACCGCCGGCACCCCTCTGTTAATGCCACAATATTCTTATTACCAACCTGTCGCCGCAGATGGGATTGGACATGCGCACTTCTCATTGCCATAATTCCTGAACCATTCAAGATATTATTAAAATTCCAAAAGTGCTGAAAAGATTAAAAATGGGGCTTGTCGTGCATATACAATACATTACGGTAGCCACCGGGATTCCCTGTCTTGAGTGCAACGAATCACAACACAGATTCAGAGACGTGCTGAGTTTGTCATCCAAAATGCTCCGTTTTATAACTTTTGAATGGCTGATCAGATTCAAAAATTTCCAACGGTTCCTCAAAGTACATAAAAGCAGCTTTCCAACGATCTATAGCTTGAAGCAATCAGCGTTAGGGAAAATATCGCTATGAGGGGAAATCCTGCTATACAGCCTGAGTGAAACGAAGCACAGCGCAGTAAAAGCGGATAACGGAACGGGGAAGCTAATCAGCATAAAAAGCCAGCATGAAATTATGGAAATTCCTCAAAGAAAATCAGCATGATCTATTAGGTGTCCCAGAAGGCTTATATCTGAAGACAGTGACCACGAAGGACAGATCTCCAGTGAACCAGGGTATGAACGTTTGTTCCGTCTTTATATTTTATTTTTTAATTAGAACAACCCTCAACTATTTGCTAATTGTAAGATTCAGCTTCATTCCAGCATTATTTGTCTTTTTACAATAAATAATTATTTTTGCTAAAACAAAAGTTTTTGGTATAGCAGTGCACGGTGTGCAAGAGAACCACCCCATGGCAGTGTGAGGTGTGCAGGACTCTGCCTGCAGCTGGAGAGAAACTGCTTCAAGGCCTACCACATCAAATAAAAACGCCTGAAAGTTTACAAAACTAAATGGTCTTAAAAACTGCTAAAAAAGATACCAAGGTTCAAACTTTTTTAAGAATGGATGCATTACAGTTCAAAGTTTAAATTGTTCATTCCAAATTGTTTTCCCAGTAATTTAAAAGTTCCTGTTCAATAAGAAATGTAAAAAAATTCAAATCCGTTTTTTGCTTTTTTCACTTTTAAGCTGATTTTTCAAAGGCTTTAATAGAAATAAATTCTAAATACAAACCATACACTGAAAGCTGAGGTTGTTCTGAAAAAAGAAGTTACACACACTTTGCACTTTTTATTACAATTTTACAGCCATAAGATTAAAAAAATATCAGGCGGCCCTGTTATAATTATGGTCATAAGAGGGTTATTAAGACGGCGACGCACAAACAAGAAGTGATTGGTAGTCATTCCACTCCAATCCAGTTGGTGGCGGTAATGCACCAAATTGTTGTTTGCCAAGTGCCATGAGACCACAAATACAAATAAGAAGAGAGGCGGCAGCGTTCATAACAAACTCAAAGCGATAGTCAAAACATTAAGCATGAAATAGAGTTATCCTATTGGCTCCAATAAGAGAAAGACGCAGCTTGCTTCAAAAAGGCTTTTATTTTCACTTCTGAAAGTGACGTCGTTTTTCGATGTAAACATCGAAAGGAAGCAGAAAGGAAAGACAATGGAAAATGTTTAAAGGGAGGAAAACAGACCAAAATGTAAAATAGAAAAACAATAACTAAGGCGAATGCACAGGAGCACTGGCAGGACAAAGAAAGCAGAGCAAATGTTGAAAGCACTCAAAGGGAGGGAAATACAGGAAAAAAGAGGAGGACTAATAAAAAGGGAAAATAACTCATGTCAGAAGAGCGGAGATTTTCGCAAATCCAGTTAAAGATAAGATTGTCGAAAATTTAGTGTAAGGGGGCCCATGTAAAGTTGCAAATAAGAACTTCCAGTTAACTCTATCAAAAGCCTTTTCTGCATCTAGAGATAATATACTAGTTTCTATGTTTCTACTGTAAGAGAAATCTATCAAATTAAGTAATCTACGTGAGTTTGTGGATGACTGTCTACCCTTGACGAAACCAGTTGGGTCAGGGTGCATTATGAAGGGGGTTACCTTCTCTAATCTTTTTGCCAGGGCTTTACAAATTATTTTGAGATCAACGTTAATAAGAGAAATTGGGCAATAGCTGGTAGGAAATGCAGGGCCTTTGCCTGGTTTTAACAAGAGACTAATATTGGCTGAGTTCATGTTTGGCTGTAATCTGCCGCTTTCTTCGATTTCCCTCACCATTCTGAAAAATGTTGGAGGCAGAATGACCCAGAATTCTTTGTAGAACTCTGCTGGAAATCCATCTGGACCTGGAGCTTTCCTATTAGTCATGGATTTAAGGGCTTCCTGGAGCTCAGCTGATGTTAGTGACGAGTCCAGGAAATGGACTCTCAAGGCAGTGTCTTGCAAGGCGAGGTGCCTTGCTATAAGGACACTGTCCTTACTTGGTCAAAGAAAACGGTTTAATGGAACAGACTTATGTCACGTAATGTCACGTGACACGGGAGGTAAAGTTATATCATACATATAAGTTTCAATATAAATATCCTTTTAAATTGTGTATATATTAGTTAAATTAAAGCTGCACCTACTAAGCATCTAACCAACCAAAGATAAAGTCAAGTCAAGAATTTGATTTCTATACCACAACAAGTCATTCTTTACTCGTTCTGCAAAGCAAACCTTGGTCAAAATGACAATTCTTCCCATCTTAGATTAAGGTGAAATAATTTATAGAACGGCTTCCAAAAAACTTCTTCATTAACTTGATGCCATTTATCACTCAGCAATTCGTTTCATCACTGGTGCCCCTTTCACTACTCATCATTGTGATCTGTACTCACTCATAACTGACCATCACTCCATTCCTGCAGGATGTTACATCACATCAGTTCACATACAAAACAATTGTCGGTAGAACACCGTCATATCTTTGCTCATTACTCATCACTTCCAACATCCAGCACAATTCACGCTCCAGTAACTTCATCTCTATGGTTACTCCCAAAGCTCGCACCTCCTTTAGCCGCTCCTCATTCCAGTTTGCTGCTTCCAACGACTGGAATGAGCTGCAAAAATCACTGAAGCTCACTACCTACATTCCATTATCTACCTTCAATAATTCATTGCAATCAATGGTTTCTGATCAATGTTCCTGCTTTTGAGTACTGAAAGACTGTTTTAAGTCTGTTTTGATTGCTTGTACATATTGTAAATGAGAAAAGGCCTTCTTGGCCTATATTTGTTTTATCTTATTTTTGTCTTGTATTTTTATTTTTTTGTCTAACCTGTTTTTCTTTGATGTAAAGCTAACTATGTGTCTGTTGCTGCTGCCTCTTGGCCAGATCGTCGTCGTGAATGAGAATAAGTTCTTAATCGACTCATCTGAATAAATAAAGGTTAATTAAACAAAATGAAGTTAACTGCTTTGGATATAAAACAAACACTTTTCAGACATCAGCCCGATAACTACAGTTAGTTTACTTACATTAATGAGCCGCTTCCCTCAGGCAGGAGGTTACGGTCCATCCAGACCAGAACCTCCCGCCACAAGAACAGTTTCTTTCCATCTGCCGTTGGACTTGTGAACAGCTTATAAACATGCAACTATGCTGGTCTTCTGCACTCGTCACATCGTCACGTTATCAGCCATGTTACCATTACCTGCCATTTTTATAGCTGATAGTTTTATTCTATTTTATTCTTATTGCGTGTTCATGTTATATGTAGCACATTAGAACCAAAGCAAGTTCCTAGTTTGTGAATTGTTTGTTCACTGACAATGGCAATAAACCTTTTCTGATTCTGATTTATTCTTGGCATTTGCCCCCAAAGTAGCTGCTGGCTTCTGATCCGCCACCCTTTTGAAAATACTGCGCTGAACTCTGGGAAATTTTTTGACCAAGGCTAGGCTAAAAGGCACCTCTCGTGTATCCTTGCTCAGCTAGCTAAACGGCTAACAAACGGAGAAAACACGCCTCGGTAGAACATGAACATTGGAACACGCCTTGACGGTTCCTGATGACGTATCTCCTAGGCAACCGGGGTGGGACCAAGACATAAAGGCAAGGTTCCTCGGCATTGAGAAACACCCTTAGACTCACTCTTATGGATTTTAGACCTGATCTGTATTGGGTTATGTTACAAAGCTGACAATATTTTTCAACAATTGGGCATAATTTAAATAATTTGCAACAATAGTTTGAAGGTTAATTCCAGAGATTAACAGTAAAAACCACACATTGTCTTTTTAAGAAAAGACTAATTAATATTTCTGTAAAATAATAAAGTAACAGAAACTCTGAAATGTCTACAGAGTGAAGGAGGTGATGGAGGGTTTGCGTTTTATGGTCTGTGCTGCTTAAAGCTGCTGTCGGCTGTTTACTGCAGGTGCTACATTACAAAAATCTTTTTTGGGGGGTCACAATAAGAAAAAAACCAAATAAGCAACACAAAAGCTTTTTGAATGACCCGATGACAAAATGAAGCCATAAAGTTTTAGAACAACTTTAATTGGTATTCATATTTACAGCAGATTTTAAATTCGCCTTCACGTATAACAGACGGGTTCATTGTGATTGTGGGTGTGTGCTTTAGCTGGGATGTTCCAGGTAAATCTTGCATAATCAGTAGTCAAGTTGAATCCATCTTTTTTTATGGCTCTACAATCTCAGATTTCTCAGGTTTTAAAGGTTTGTCGCCTTCATAGAAAAGTTCATGTAAATTAAGCTGAAAGGCTGTAAATAAAACTTCTATTCACCACTGATTCTCTACTAAGCTGTAACAGTTCAGAATGGAAGAGAAATAAATCTGAAGCACACAAAAACCACAAACTGTACATTTCTGAATATTTAAATCCTCAAAGTGACAGCACTGAAGTTTAGTAGGAGTCAAACACATCAGCGCGTCCTTTGAGCAAACTCTTTTATTTACAAAAAGAAAAGGGAATAGGTAAAGCACTGATTGGTAATTCCTCCCGCTCTGTCCTTTCAGGTCATTTAGAGTCGACATTAAATGAAAAACTCCTTTTGGTTTTCACTGGGAACACTCAGAGAGTCTGCCTGGCTGCTGAACGGGAACTCGTGGTCGTCCTCAGGTTGCGATGACTTCACTTCCTGGTTCCGAAACGTCTCTTTCCTTACGCAGATGAATCTGGCCATGATTGCGAATGCACAGATTGTGATGAAAATCACCACTGCTATCACACCTGAAGACCACAGGAAAAAGAACAGTTTGAAGACAAAACAAGTAAACCTTCACAAATGCGAAAAATAGTTAGAGACGTCCGATAACATTGGCCATCATAATCAGCCGATGCCTGCGTTAAAATGTAAAATTGGAAATTATTGTAATGCATCGTAAAGCTGCTGTAGCGAATCGGCAAACAAGTCAAGTTTCGAATGCAAACACTGTTACGGAACACTCGTCCTGGGGTATGTACTCAGAAATGACCCAGTTGAGTTGCTGGGTGGGACTTGGTTGGTTGTAACTAAGCAGAAAATATTTGAATACATTGGCTAAATATTTTGTAAAACTGGAAGAGTTACTGGTGAAGCAGAATGGAAGGAAAAGCTTCCATTGATTCCGTTTAAAAATCATGTTCCTAAACCGCCCATGTCAGAAGATGCAGCGGAAATTCCCCCACAATGCCATCATGGCTGCTGAATTATGTCTTAATTTGACAGAATAAGTCTTACTTCCTGATGTTCAGGCAGCTCGTCCCTGATTGGCTAAGAGCAGCACGACTCTACCACTGACTGTTTGCTTTGCGACATAGATGTTTCATCTTCACAAATAACCCAAGCCTTGTAAATTTGGAAATGTGATGGGTCGCTCTGACTTTAACATGCAAGCTAAATGTGAAAATTGTCTTATACCCCCATTTCCTGCATTTGCCTTAGAAAAGCCTGACAATTGCACGTCATATTGTCAAATTAGCATTCATGGACTCGCGTATCTAGGCTCGCGACTGGGGAAGGCTGTTGTTGGTTTAGGAGAGAACAGAGCATGTTGCGGCTAATAGAAGCTAAACATTAGCAACTCAACAACATGGCAGAACTCCTTCAAGATAAAAAAAAAGTGGTTCCTCTGGGAGCTTGGTCTTTAATGTTCATGGACTCCTTTTGGCGCTGACCAGTGACATCACTACCAAAATAGCCGCTGAATGCTAGCGTCTTAACAGAGTTCTGAACGGGCAGATTTTATATGGAGACACAGCAGCAGGAGGACCGAGCTTTTACCCCGTCACCTTCCTTCCTCCTAGAAATCCTATAGCGGAAAAGCAGCTAATGTTAACTGCTTTTAATAGCTTATTCCCATATTCCTAATTACTCCCATTCCTGCTGTGATGGACAGCCTTACCTCCAATTAGAGCTGAGTCGCTCCTGATGGCGTTGACCAAAGGCTGACCTGCATCCGCAGAGCGAGGCTGGTCTGCATACGGATAAAAAAGGGAAAAGATGTGAACAGAAAAAAAGACGCGAAAGAAAATATTCACAGGAGAAAAATGAAAGAAGAGGAGATGTGAGACAAAATAATTTAACAGAAGTGACAATCGTTAGTTTGTTCTAAGAGAGCCTTAAAGGACTTCCCTAGAGTTGTTTGACTAATCTCGTCGGTCGCTGTGCCAACACTCTGTGGAGGAGGATGCCTAATGAGCTCGTAAGTAAGTTTAAGAGGTCTAATATTAAACATACACCAGACAGAACCCCACACTGGGAAAAGGATGGGATGCTTCCCCAGTGATCAAAAGGATATGGGAGAATTTAAAGGCTGAACGTGCTTCTTTTTTTTTGTTCTTTACCCGATAAGGAGTGTGTGGTTTCTGCTGCGTAGGGATCAGCTTGAGAGGAAGAAGCACAGCTTGATTGTACCAGTGAGCCGGTGACAATCACACGGCTGTCAGGATGGAGCAGAGCTGATTTCAGAGGACAGATGGAGTTAAATCGAACGCCTGACAGGCAGCCAGTGAACCCAAGAGAGGCCAACCCGGGCAGCTCTGAGTCCAGATCTTCAGACTCTGAAATAACAAGAGAAAAAGGGCCAACGGAGGTGAAGACGTCCTTGTTATCAGTGGATGCCAGTGACGTGCTGGCATTCATCCTAATGAAAAGGGATCATTGTGTTCATTAGGAACCCCTGGAGCTTAAAAACACACGTGAACCTCATGGAATTGTGATGGTTTTATCTTTTCAGATGTTTAATCTCATGCCAGAAGATGGAAACACGATCACCATTCATGTAAAACGATTGGAGATCAAAGCCACAAAGCCCACACTATTGGCAAATGTTCTTTTTCTTCTCTATTTAAACATTTGCATCAAAGCAGAGATCAAACCGCTAGTAGATCTGATCGCAGAGTTGAAGCATTATTTTTATTGCAACAACTACAGATAATAGATTTTTGCGCGTGCAGCCCTTTAAGAACCTCCCAGAGCTTCTTGCTGATGATTCATGTAATAAAACACCCACTTGTTGTGGCAGCCGGTTCAATACAACATATTTAGCTTCTACAAACATCTAAAAGTCAGAATGAACCACAATTATTCCTGCTGAGCAAGTTTGCTTACACAGCATATTGCCACCAGTGACCTAACTTATTACCACGGATTAAAATAAATAAATTAAAGCATTTCAACACATAAATATGACACTGCAGCGCAGCCGGGCTGCAACGGGTTTATTATCAGCTCCACATTGGCTCGACTTCTAAATTAGATGTGATCTTCTGACCAGGAGAATAATTTGACACATAATAACTCCAACAGTGGTAATTTATCTGCTCCTGCATTAGCGAGTTATAATTTTTCAGTGTTGTTTGCCAAGACGGCGTCTTAGAACGTGATGTATTTTTTCATATTGCACAGATAGCTCTTACAGGCACACTCACTCTAAAAACTAAATTTAGTTTTCCCTTTATCTAATGAAAATATATAAAAAATTAAATTGTAAACAAAAAATAATAATGACATGACAGTATTCCGACATAATGCCGGTGTGCTGATGAGCTAGTTTTCTATGTTATGCTGTCTTTCTTTAAATCTACCTTCTATCATGCTCTCCCTGTCTGTCTCCGTGAGTGTCTTTGTCCTGGTCCATTAGCTGGACTGATGGATGGATGCTGACATGACTGAATCCTCTGGCTCAGCTGGAGGGGGCATAGTCTGCGTTAGCAACAATAATAATAAAATACTTCAAAACACCAAGTACATCAGTCTCTACACACCTGGTACTTATTCAAATCACAGCATGTGAAGTTCATTGTTCACACTGATGAAACTGGTTGCTCTCTCTGGTGTTTTTAAATTTCTTGTTTAAAAGTAAATTTCTTGAATTAAAGGGGTGCTTCTTACTAATGGTATCCTATTACATACCAAATTCTGCCTGAATTATAAAGGTACTATGTTGGCCCTTTTCCAGTTATTCTGAGAAGATTCATAGATTACAAACTGTTTTAAAAGTTCCTCATGTAAAACAAATCACTCGAAAGAAGTCAATTTCATTCGGTCATTTAATAAACATCACTGTCTGACTTCCTGTTTCAACTTGGACCTGAGCCGCTCGGCTGAGATTGACTGATTGATTCCAGTCTTCTCAGTAATTTCTTTTGCTCACTTTCTCCTAATTAGCTGTGAGATATGAGACCTTTTCTGTTGGTGTTCTCTCTGCAGCTATCCGAGGCTGCTCTCAGCCTCTTGCTGCTTCAGTATCAATAAAATAAGAGCAGGATTAAAAAAAAAATCCTATCTTTTGCATCAATTTTAAAACCGAACTTTAAACCAACATGTGATTTATCTTCATTTCTTCCCATAGAGCATTGATTTAAAGTGATACTTCCTGTTTTCAGCATTTTATACTGCAAGTTTTCATTTCTTGAGGCTTGATTTAAAGTTACGGTGTGTAGTTTCTGCTGATAGGGGGCAGTGCCTACATACATTTCAAGGTAGTTTTACACCCTATCGCCCCGACTGTTTAAAAAACATTACGGTAAATGTTGTTACCTGTGGAGCAGAGAACATGCAACCTCAGCGCGACTCCTCAGACTTTGATGGTCCTTCAGTTAATTCTATTGGGAGAATTCAATGCTGATTGTAGTTTTCTCGTACCTGGCTTACCAAGGTGCCTTGCTTACCTTGGTCAAAGAAAATGGTTCAACGGAACAGACTTGCGTCACGTGACCGCAGCTCCCATGGCAGTCGCATTACATCACGTGACACGTGATGTAAAGTTTTATATAAGTTTCTGTGTAAATGTATTACAGGCTTTTACTTTTTAAATTGTGTATATATGGGTTCAATTAAATATGTAAGCGAGTTACTACCTCGTAGCTACTCATTAACTAACCAACCATAGCTAACTGCTTTACATCTAAAAAAACATTTTAGATATCACCCCGATAGCTACAATTAGTTGACTTACATTTAAAGGGATTTTATGGAGTTTTGAATTTTTATGCTCGCGATTGCCCCCTCAGGCCAAAAGCGTAATGGCAGCTTCAATAGTAGACTCATGCACGAAGCGCGCATGCTGTACGTGCACACTCCTTGATGAAAATAACAGCTGAGACAGTCCCTTGTGTGTGTGTGTGTGTGTGTGTGTGTGTGTGTGTGTGTGTGTGTGTGTGTGTGTGTGTGTGTGTGTGTGTGTGTGTGTGTGTTGTGTGTGTGTGTGTGGCCCGGAGGACAGGAGAACGAACAGCTAATTAATTAAATATTTTGGTTCTGTACCTTTCTCTTCAGCACAGCCAACAAAGGTTTAAGATGGGTCAGTCCTCCTGCATGCTCAGATCATTCCCTTCCCTTGCTTGAAAAATTGTTCCAAAATGAAAGTTGAACCCACATCTTTTTTATCTGTGAATTCAAAGCTGTTCGGCGAGTCTCAGATAAATATTTGGGCATCTTACTGTAAAAAAATATACCATTAATGTAAAAAATAAACTCTAAATAAATTATGTTCACATTCAAAATTGAATCCGGATCTTCTGCACGAGAGTCTGCTGTCTTACTAGGTGAGCTAAAGCACCAGTGATGTCTTTTGTATCTGTAACTTTTATATCCTTGATGACAGCTGAAACAACGTTCAAAGAACGGTTCGGAGCGAAAATGGCTATTTTGTTGCTAATTTGCAGGAAATATCTAGAAGAAAGTTCTACAGAAAGTAGCTAAGGGTCCTCAGAAATGTCGCTAGGTTTGTCACTAGGCGTTAGGAACAGCGACAAAGTCACTGAGTTGGCACTGCCTCTCTCTCTGCTGCTAAAGCTACGGATAGCAAATGCTATGGGCGATGCCTGAGCGTGAACGCGCATGAAGCAGCCTGCTTGACCCGAGCATCTCTCTTTTTCTGTGATTTTACAGAAAAACAGGCAATCACAGTAAATGCCAGGGCTCATTCTACAGGACCAGGGCATTGCAGGAGAATGAATGAAGAATAAATTAATTATTTCTATACATGTTTTGGCTGTCAAACTTCCATAATGCCCCTTTAAACTGGAAATTTTCCCCCGAAGTAGCTGCCAGCATCTGACCCACCTACCTTTTGAAAATACCGTGCTGTATTTTTGACCAAGGCCAGGCTACAAGGCACCTCCCGTGTATCCTTGCTCAGTTAGCTAAATGGCTACAGAGTACAGATGCCTCGGTAGAACATGACGATTGGAACACGCCTTGGCAGTGATTATGAACCAGGTGGGATCAAGACATCAAGGCGAGGTTCCTTGACATTGAGAAACACCCCTGGTGTCTAATATGGCGTCCCCCAAAGACGGGGTGCCCCACGCACTATGTACTTTAGACGTGATTTTTATGGTTATAAGCTATGAAGCCCCCCAGTATTTTTCAACAACTGGACTTCATTTTATTCATTTTCAACAATGTTTCAATGGATACTTCCAGAAATTAACGGTACAAACTACACATCATCTCTTCAAAGAGAACTAGGCAGTTTTAGCTTTTAGCACCCCCTAGTGTCCATTTGTATAACCGAAAGCAAACTTATGTCCTTGCTGTTCGTTCGTCTTTTTAACGCCTTAATCTAACAGCTGAAATGTCTCCCAGCATTCCCTTCAGGAGTGATTCATCACTAAATTAAACAAATAAGCTTTGTTCATGACCTAAATCATGTAGGAAACGTGCTGGAATCAGACTGCAGCGCCAGGTATGTCCGCTCAATGTTTTCCCAACAGAGCGGCCTGCCAATCTGAAGTTGCAAGTGGGATATTCTGGCCACAGAGGGCTATAGGGGCTAGGTGGCCTGTCAAGCAGGGGTATTCAATTCTGGGCCTGGAAGGCTGGTATTCAGCACATTGTAGTGGTTTCTCTGCTCTAACATGGTAGAATCACCTGTGTGGCAGCTCACCATGCTGCAGAAGCCTGCTAATCACCTGCTTATTGAAATCAGGTGTGTTGAAGTAGAGTTAAGACTAAAACGTGTTGGATACCGGCCCTTGAAGACCAGGATTGAATATCCCTGCTGTAAAGGGTCACTTTAGCACATACTGGCTCAAGAAAATGATCTAAAAATATGAAAAAGCTGCAAAATATCCCTTTAAAAACATAAATGCTAACATTTCAATATGGGTGTCAGTTTGTTTAAAAAAGCATCACATCTGTTGCCCAGACTAGAGCTTCCCATCTGGCCCTGCTGGTATAATGAACAGAGAACAGCTGAAGCCTCTAGGAGGGTGTTGTGTTGTGTTGGTCTCTCCTGAAAATGGGCCTCACCTACCCCGTATGCTGCCCAGCGTGACCGATTTGATGCCGTTGAATTCCACATCGGATGTCAAGTTGAAGTCTTCTCTGGAATTCTGGTCAACCTGAAAGATGATTTTTGTCATGGCTTGAAACGACAACCAGGGATTTCTATGCTCAAATAAGGCCATCAGCTGGACTAAAATATATCTGCTGTTCTTATTTACAGATTACAATCAGAATAAAACCAGAAGAGACATTTAAAGTGATGATATGTAATTTCCTCGTCGATAGGGGGCAGTACATACCTAAATCAGTGCAAGCAAGCTGTATTTTTGTGTTCGAGTAAGAACATACCGACGGATGGCCATTTTGGTCAAAAAGCTCTGGGAGCACAACCTCCGGCAAACTGACAGCAGGCTGCCTTTAATCACTGAGAGCATGTGAAGACGCAAATGCGTAAAACAACATTTATGAATGGTGAAAGTTTGTGACCGTTTGTTACAAATCAGTAATTTGCAATTTGTCCTCACGGGCTCCTGTAGACGGAAACATGGTGTCTAATATGGCATCGCCCAGACTTAGACCTGCTCCCATGTATTTTAGTCCCGATTTTTGTGGTTGTTTGTTGCAAAGCTGCCAATATTTTTCAACAACTGGGCATCATTTAACTCATTTTCAACATGTTGATATTTCCAGAGATTAACGGTAAAAACTACACATTGTCACTTTAAGATCTTTTAAAAAAGAGTTTTAAATTTAGCTGTTTGCTGGTTCCTCTGGATTAAAATTATGAACTAAAAATAGACTTTTTAGTAACTGAACACAAATAACTGGATGCAGGTTTGTAGGCGTTTCTGTAACTAAAGCCAACACACAGAGGCAGTCTCTGCTGGCGCACCAAGCACTAATCGTTATCTTCTTCCTGACACAGCTATCAGAGCTTTGCTGACCAAAATAAATACCTAAAATTTTCTAAAAAGTACGAGTTATTCAGCTTACAATGTTGTACAGCTTTTTAATTTAGATTTCCAGATTGTATTTTATTATTTACGTACGTTTATTTTCATCTGCAGAATATAGATAATAAAAGCCTCAGTTGTAAAATAAGCAACAACCAACTGTTTTGGTTACATAGAACATTAAACCCAAACCTACAGGAGTTCACTCCTTAAACGTTTCAGCTATTAAAACTGAAATGTTTCATTTCTCAACCTAAAGCGTCATTTGCATCCTAATGAGAACATATTTATAATAGATCACGTTTTTAGAGATTTTTCCTCCCCTTTGGTGTTGCTTTAGCTAGCACAGCGACAGCTCAGGTCAACATCCTATCTAAAATTAGCTCTGACCTGTGTGTGTGTGTGCGTGTGTGTGTGTGTGTGTGTGTGTGTACCTGAACAGACACAGCGTCTGCCTGTCGCCTGATAGTCACTGTGTGCAGACGCCCGTCGGCTAAGTTCATGACTCTGCTGCTCAACACCTCCACATCCTTGCTGCTGTGCAGCTTGTACCGAACCTCCAGCTCACCTTCACACAAACACAAAACAAAAAAATAGATTTACTACAGACAGAAAGCAACTTTAAATAAAAGCTGTTTGGTATTTTTGAAAAGCTGATTTTAACATAAAGTTTGTATCTAGAAGTGATAATAACTTTTTGGTTTCCTTGACTTTTGATGTGCTAATACTAGTTTATCCGTTTAATTATAGATCCACTAGGATAAATACAATAAAATTTATCTTTCACCAAATAGAATATTTACTAAGACATCACAATATAACTGTAGACACATTACTTGTCCGTGTGTGTGTGTGTGTGTGTGTGTGTGTGTGTGTGTGTGTGTGTGTGTGTGTGTGTCTGCTCTGTCTTCTCGATCCCCAGTGAGTCGTGGAGGATGGCTGCTTATACTGAGCCAGGATCCTCTGGAGGTTTCTTCCTGTTAAAAGGGAGTTTTCCTCTCCACTGTCGCTTTATGCTTGCTTGGTATGAGGATTGCTGTAAAGTCACTGACACTAGTCAGTGACTTGATGCAATTTGCTGGGTTCCTTATATAGGAAACATTATTTCTGATTGGCTTAATGAACTGACCTGAATTGGAATTTTTATTATGTGAAGTGCCTTGAGACGACTCTTGTCGTGATTTGGCGCTATATAAATAAACTTGAATTGAATTGAATTGAAAAAAGTGTTGAGGTCACAAGTCCCTTCACTTGTTGTTTCAGTACATTTGCATTGGTCACTTGTGAGTCGATCTCTGTGAGGAAAAACGCTCTGGCGCTCCTGTGCAGGAGCTAGAAGTGAGGCATTTTCCGTGTGTTTCTCTGTGATGTCTCCTCATTGACAACATTTTATTAATGTATGGAAGTTCAGGTAAACAAACGTGACATTTAACCTGCAGAAAATAGTATGAATGATTTAAAAAGAATAATTTAAAAACAAAATTCTGATGAATCAAGCAGAAACGGAGAGGAGCAGAATCAAACAAGGAAATAAAAACAAATATCTCATTTGCCAACATGAGAACAAAATGATCCCTCATGGACCATGGTCCATTTTCATTTTGGCACCTTTGACCCAGCTCTCACCCTGGATTCTCATGGCAGTTCTCTTGTTCGCTCTTCCTTCTTCCATCTCAGGAACGTTGCTAAGCTGAGTCCCATTCTGTCCCGCTCAGAACATGAGACGGTTCTCCACACCTTCATCTCCTCACGCTTAGACTACTGTAACTCTCTTTTCACGTGTCTGAGCAGAGCCTCCCTGAACCGTCTACAGGTGGTTCAGAATGCCTGTGCTCGGCTTCTGACCAAGTCCTCCAAACACACCCACATCACCCCGCTTCTTCTCCAGCTTCACTGGCTGCCAGTTGACTTCAGGGTTCATTTCAAGATCCTGGTTCTGGTCTATAGGGCCTTACATGGACAAGCACCATCTTACATTGGTGATCTTCTTAGTCCCTACACCCCCAGCAGGTCCCTGAGGTCCAGTGACCAAAGCCTACTGGTTGTGCAGCACCAGGCTAAAGACCAAAGGTGACAGATCATTTGCTGCTGTGGCCCCCAGACTCTGGACCTCTCTCCCCCTGAGCCTGAGATCAATGGACTCAGTGGTCTCCTTTAAAAATCAGCTGAAGACTCACTTGTTCAAGCTGGCTTTGTATGACCTTCATCACCATCCTCTCCTTATTCTGCTTTTCTACTTATTCTGGCCTTCCCTCTTTTCTATTCATTCTCTCTTTCCCTTTCCTCACTTTTTCAAATCATAATTTTACTTTTGTCTCATTTTTTCTCCTACCTATTTTAAAAAATTATTTTAATCTTTTTTATACTTGAATTTTTTTTGTGGCGCCTCGTGATTTTTATCTTGAGAGGCGCTACATAAAAGATTGCCTGCCTGCCTTCCTTCCTTCCTTCCTTCCTTCCTTTCTTCCTTATGTAACAGTGGAATCATTTGCTTCAAAAAGTGTACTTTTGGCAGAAACTCATCTCATTGATCCTCCATTTAAATGCGGTTCTGCTCTTCACTCACAAGCGAAACAGCAGCTGTATTGGTCACGTGACTACTTCCTAACGATGGGTGTCGCTCGAGAATTCTGCTGTTGTGTCCTTTGGCAAGACACTTAACCCACCTTGCCTGCCGGTGGTGGTCGGAGGGACCAGCTTCACCTCTGTCAGTGTGCCTCAGAATAGCTGTGGCTACAATGTGTGAATGGATGAAAGATACAGTGTAGTGTATTTTGAGTCTACTTACTCTAAAAGGCGCTATACAAGTGCGGGTCATTTATCATTTACTTTTTACACAAGCCAGTAGTTTAACCTTTTAAGTGTTGAAGAAGAAGAAGAAGAAGAAGAAGAAGAAGAAGAAGAAGAAGAAGAAGAAGAAGAAGAAGAAGAAGAAGAAAATATCATTTCTATAGCGCCTCTCAAGATAAAAATCACGAGGCACTTCACAAAAACAAAAAATATAAAAATTGTAAAAATATAAAAAAGCATTTCGAAAATGTTTAAAATATATTTAAAATGAGCAAGAATAAGCTGTTGCGATTTAAAAGAAAAAATGTTAAGAAAGAGAGAGAGTGAATAGGAAAGAGGGAAATCAGTGGATCCTGAGGAAGGTGGAATAGGCGGCGAGAGCAGAATAAAGAGAGAGTGGTGAAGAAGGTCATCCAAAAGCCCGCTTGAACAGGTGAGTCTTCAGCTGCTTTTTAAAGGAGACCACTGAGTCCACTGATCTCAGGCTCAGGGGGAGAGAGGTCCAGAGTCTGGGGGCCACAGCAGCAAATGATCTGTCACCTTTGGTCTTTAGCCTGGTGCTGCTCATCCAGTAGGCTTTGGTCACTGGACCTCAGGGACCTACTGGGGGTGTAGGGACTAAGAGGATCACCAATGTAAGATGGTGCTTGTCCATGTAAGGCCCTATAGACCAGAACCAGGATCTTGAAATGAACCCTGAAGTTGACAGGCAGCCAGTGAAGCTGGAGGAGAAGCGGGGTGATGTGGGTGTGTTTGGAGGACTTGGTCAGAAGCCGAGCACAGGCATTCTGAACCACCTGTAGACGGTTCAGGGAGGTTCTGCTCAGACACGTGAAAAGAGAGTTGCAGTAGTCTAAGCGTGAGGAGATGAAGGTGTGGAGAACCGTCTCAAGTTCAGAGCGGGACAGAATGGGACTCAGCTTAGCAACGTTCCTGAGATGGAAGAAGGAAGAGCGAACAAGAGACACCTCACCTCAGACCTCCTGTGAGGGGTCAAAACAAACGGTTAGCTTCTACTAGCCGTTTCCTGGATGCTAAACAGCTTCCCCCGTCGTGAGCCAAGTTTTTCAGTGAACCTGGTCTTTAAACATGACGAGCTAGGACCAAAGTGCTCCATCCCTGTCTCTAAGAGTAGATTCTACAATAGGAGTTAAAATATTGTAGATTGAAGCTTATCTCAACATCTTCGGATCCATTTAAACTGAAGTAATCACCTACTTTTCAGAATCTGCTTTTATTTAATCCATTTCACTCGCAGCAAATTCGTACCCTGGCCTGATCATTTTGATGAAAAGTTTGAATAATTTCAGAATATGTGAATTTGACTTATTTTTAATGAGCTCATGGTTGAAAAATTTGGACTAATTAATTAGTTTTTGGCTGAATTTAAGTTATTATTTTCCCTCGTGTGTGGTCTAAAACACCCTGAAATAAAAACAATTTTTTATTTATAGTTCCCTGGCCGACTGCTGTGCTCCACATTCCATTTAAAAGCGAGAAGGGGTAAAAACAGACTTTTCTTAATGTAAAAACTCACAGAAGCAAAGAGCTGAATAGATTGCAGGATTTAACTACAATAATCTTTTCAGATTAACTCCTCACCGTGTTTGTTGATGAGCAGGATCAAGTGTTCTCTGTAGAAGGAGCCGATGTAGAGCAACATGGCAGGACTCTGAGTGGTCCTGAAGCTCAGGGAGATGTTTTCACCTCTCAGTGTGATATCTGAATAGATGGATGAGGGCATGGTGCTGCCGTTTCTGCTCAGCTCATACGGCTCCTTGATGATAAAGGTAATGGATGTGGTTGATGTAAAGCTGGCTGAAACTTCTGAGAGACAAAAAAAAAAAGAAACGTAAGAGCGAGATATCAGAGATGGAGTTTCCTGCAAAATGAAAAAAAAAAAACAGGACACATCTTTATTTAAATGCTGAACATTTAAAGGTACAATATGTAAGAATAAAGTAAGAAGGACATCCTTTGGTCAAATTTGGTAATGCAGTCTATTTTTCTGAGATAAAAATCACTTTCTCACTCCTGTTTTGTGAGTTTAGAGGCTGATTTCAGTTACAGACCAGGGGTCTCATTCATCAAACAGGGGTCTCATTCATCAAACATTGCGTAGAATCCTTACTAAAATCGTACTTAAACTCAGTAAAAAAATGTACTCACGCCAAGTAGGATTGTGATCTATCAAACATGGAGTACGCGCAGCTTCACGCAATCTCCGCTTCATAAATCAGAAACTATCTAGAATGTTTCTCAGCTGCTTTTTAGTCACATCCCGCCCTCACCACGCCCACTTACTGCCTTAAATAGTCAATGCAAAGTGCCTTGTGGATCTCATGCATTTACATAAGCCGGCTGTTGCAGTGCTTCGCCAATGGCATGGTGACCGTAGATCAAGGCAGATCAAGGAAGCGCAATTTCACAAGCAGAAGTTGAGGTACCTGTGGGTGAGGTGGAGAAATGAAAGGAAGTGCTTTTGCAAGACAAATAAGAGAAAATCCACAGAGTGGCACAGCGTTGCTGAAGCTGTCAATGTTGTGAATTCTTCAGAGAGATCTGTGGCGGATATTAAAAAAATGATCCAATCAGGATTCAATCCCCAGACTCCCGTGTGAAAGTGACGCACACTAACCAGTCAGCCAAACGGAGATCTCCCCTGTACAAGTAGCCAGGGTGCATGATCAATCGGGTCACAGTGACAGGACACACACACTGTCACAGACGCATGACATTCTGTCTCAATCTGTCCCCCTGCTGATTTTCTGCATTCTGTATTCTGCGCTTCAGGCTGTGTGTGTGTGTCTGTGTGTGTGTGCGCGCGCACACGTGCGTGTGAGCATGCGTGTGGGGGGTCTTGTTCTGTGTGAAAACGAAGCAGTACAAGGCCCTGTCCACACGTAGCCGGGGATCTGCCAAAACATAGATATTTTTCTACGTTTTGGCCTGTCATCCACACGAAAACTGAGTTTTTTAAAAACTCCGGCCAAAGTGAAGATCTGCGTTTTCTCTGTTTTGGGTGTCTGCGTGTGGACAGACAAAACCGGAGTTTTGAGGTCCGCAACGTCACTTTCCGCAACAAAAAAATGCTGACATCACGTGTGCGACCTGTGTTTACACTAGCCGACAGCAGATGCTCTCAGAGCTGCGCTCGCTTTATCAATTGTCCAAGCACTTTTTGCTTGTTTGTTTTTGCAAGCGGAATTACTGCTCCTTACGGAAGACCACAGACGAAGGACGAGGTTAAGAACGGGAGAAGTACTGCCGCCTACAGGTCTTTCATGTCCTTAGTAACGTATTTATCCGGGTACGTGTGGACAGAGTTTTTTTTAAACGAGGTGGTGTGGATGAAAGTTTTTGGAGGGGCGGATATTCGTTTGTAAAAAAAACCCGGCTACGTGTGGACTATGCCCAAGTGATAATGCTGCAGGATTTCATAATTTCATCCTTCTCAGCAGCAGCACTGCAGGTGCTCTCCATGTCCAACATGTGTGTAAGCCAGGTCCTTAGTCAACTTAAAGTTGCGCACATTTTTCCGTTAAGGTTTCTTTCATAAATCCCAAAGTTTGCGTGGAAAGTTGCTTACGCGGTTTTCCGACCCCGTTTTGTGCATAAACAAGTTTGAGAAATGAGACCCCAGGACCAGAAGATTCTAGCGGACAAGCAAAGACAACCATACACAGTACGTCGATAAGGATAAATGCGTTGTCGTATCTGCTGTTAGCACTCTTGGGTGTTTTAAGGTAGGGAGCACTTACTACACTTACTACTGACTCTTCAACCTCATAAACTCACCGATTGTAAAAAAGGAACTCCATCCCTCTTTTGTTTCTTTTAAAGGGGAAAAACTGACTGACAAAAAATATATATCTGTTTCAGAAAAACCTTCCTTCCAACATGGTTGAGACATTAGACTGTTTTGTGATGATTTCACTGTATGTTTCTTACATATTGCTCCTTTATAAAAGGTACAACATTCTTAGTAAATTCTACAAAACCATTGCAACAACCTTCTTTTATTAGAGAATTAGTTTGAAATTAATTAACTTATTCATTATTAAATTAGCTGAAGGTTTTTTGCTTTTATTGGTAGAAGGATAATTCTTAATTGCTTATACTGAGCCAGGATCCTCTGGAGGTTTCTTCCTGTTAAAAGGGAGTTTTCCTCTCCACTGTCGCTAAATGCTTGCTTAGTATGAGGATTGCTGTAAAGACACTGACATTAACTAGTCGGTGACTTGATGCAATCTGCTGGGTTCCTTATATAGGAAACTTTTTCCTGACTGGCTTAATGAACTGACCTGTGTTGGAATGTTTACTGTGTGAAGTGCCTTGAGACGACTTGTCGAAATAAACTTGAATTAATAAAACAACAATGTTCTCTCTGAATCAATCCCCTTTAAAGTACGATTTTGGTTCTGCCAGCACATTTCACCAGTATAAACCAGTCAATTCAGTTTTCTCTTTGACTCAATTCCATGTTTATGTGTGGGGAATACTCCGTAATCGTAGTGAGTGGTGGAATATTCCAGCCTGGCGTCTGTGACATCTGGCACAATGCTGACTTTTGACAATTTCTTGATAAGTTAAAAAGTCCCATTAGTTGTCACACACACACTGATGTGTGTGCAAAATTTGTTCTCTGCATTTCACCCATCCCCACGGGGAGCGGTGAGCTGCAGACACCGGCGCCGCTCGGGAACCATTTGGTGGTTTAACCCCCCCCAATCCAAGCCCTTAAAGCTGAGTGTCAAGAACGGAGGCATTGGGTCCTATCTTTTAAAGGTCTTTAGTACAATCCAACCAGGATTTGAACCCTGATCTCCCAATCTCCAGGCGGACGCTCTACCACTAGGCCACTGAGCTGATGTTTCACATAAAAAAGCTCAGAGGGCTGGAAGAGCTAAACGATAATTCCCCTTTACTTCCTGAAGAGTAAAGACTTATTCCTCTCCAAAACAAGCCTGAGTCAGAGACAGGAAACACAGCAAAGGTTTGAAATGCTTTTGCTGCGTTCTGTAAGATGCAAAAAAAAAAAAAAAGAAAGAAAGAAAGAACAGGTAAATCACCTCAGCTCACCATCTGCTCAGCTCAGAAAAATGCATAAAAATCCAAAAAGGGTTTTTCTTCTATAGGAACCAAAATGGCTGTGCTTAGGTCCTCTGAGAGGCTGGCTCATGTCACTGCCTGTCACCGCCATACCAAACAGCAGAGCAAATATTAATTTGTAAAGCCTCTGGGTGGCATGCACAGACCGAGCTGTCAAAATAAAAGGCAATAAAATGTAGTAACAGAGGCCGCTGTTCAAATACAGACCTATACCAAACTGATATGAGGGGCAGAAGTCACTTCAGAATCACAAGTTGGTGTAATATGAAAGTGAAGAAAAACAGGACGATGGTTCACAAACTCAAGAAGCTCCTACCAGACTTTCATTTCAGTTGTTTAAATCTGGACTTGAACTTTTAAAATATAAAGGTCTTTGATATCCGCTCAATTTAAAAATGTCACAAACAAGGTTTTTATGCCATTTAGTCGGATTTCCTCTTATTGTAGTTTTTCATTCTTCAATCTTAATTCGCAGCTGATTCAGATGTCATGCTTCACTCGGCATCCCTTAGACATAACACTACATTCGATTTCATGCCGAATTAGTCAATTATCTCTGACGTACAAGAGGATTTAATTATAAAGGCCACCATGGGGATAAAACAACTCAAAGAGCCAATCTGGACTTACAGAAGAGATGTTCCTTCAATTTCAAAAAGATAATAGACAATGTTTCCCCAAGGCTTCTGCTGCTGCGGTTTGTGATTTGTCAGTTAATAATCCGTCAATCTGTCTGCAAGCTGATGGATTTGGGAATTTCTGAAAGGCATGCGTGTACAGATCTTCAATCAAAGGTTTTAAAAGATTCATCATCTGCTGAATCCGTCTGTGGAGGTAGAAAAGATGTAATTGGGATGGAAATAGAAAAGAAAAACAGCAGTGAGACGATCAGTTGTCTGTTTATCTGTACCGTGATGGCAAAAGGCTCCGCTGTAGGCAGACTGACTGCAGTCACAGGAGAAGCCGTTGGCTTTTTCCACACAGCGTCCCTGGTTCTGGCAGAACCTGCCGTAGCTACTGCAGTGACCCGGGCAACCGGGTCGGACTCCAGGTGTCATCTCCGCCCTCTCCTCCAGGTCCAGAGTGACTCCGTTCAGCTGCAAAGAGCGGATGCAGCCCAGAAAGCCTTTCTGTCGTGATGCAGTGCCTCCTGCAAAGAGGACAAAAACAAGTTCTGCTAGATGTTTCTCTACATTAAACAACTGAAGTTCGGATTGCAACAGCAGCACAATATGCTGGTGTCTGCTCTGCAGGGTAAAACAAAGACTCCCCGTAGCTCTGGTATGACTACTGATTGTCTAAAATGTGGCTGATGGGCCACCTGGTACCCGATATTAAGTGTTTGCACTGACAGGTGGAAGAAAACATCATTTTCTCCTTTTACCTGAAAAGTAATATTCCAATCTAGCAGCCCTTAGTTTAGACTTGGCAAATATGCATTTCCCCAAAGTGTGATTCTTTAGCTATGAATCAGTTTGTTTTAACTGGAGTTTGGAGATCATGCTGGTAGAATTTGGAAAGAGTTCAAATGTTGAGCCAGAGCAGCTTTTCATTACAAACATTACTAAACTCTGTGTGAAACTCTAGCTGCCTTCTGTGTCAACGCATTCATTGTAGAAAATGTAATGAAATGCCTCCAAACAGCTCAGTGAAGACTAATACATCCCACACCACACTTTAGAAGAAAACTTGTATTTTAGGAAAATTCAAACAGCCGAGGTAAATAATAAAAAAGTCTAAACTGCTGGTTTAGACTGCAAAGGAGGAACCAAATTACTGGAAAACGGAGCCTCCCAGTCGGACGATGACTAAATGAAAGAGACAAGAACAGAAATTCTGTAGGAGGCAAAAGAAAACATCTGCATGGTGGCAAAATGTTCAGCTACTTTAGCACTTTTACCTTCCCACTACGTGGTGTGAGAGCACAAACCAATTAAGGGCCATGTTCTATAAGTACAGCAATACTGGAGGGCTCATTTAGGAGCCGAGTGGCAAAGTGCAGCGGTGCCAGAAGAGGAACATGACTCAGAAAGTGTCAAAAGGGATTAATTCAATCTCAGCAAGTCAGGCCTACAACACTGCACATTCCTCAGCCACATCCCCAGACACATGAGCTCAGTTTAAGAGGCATTAAACTGTATTTCTTTTAAATATGGTGCAAAAGTCTGTTTATTTCAGTGATTCAACTGAGAGACCATCTAAAGGCTCAGGAACTGTTTGCAGGTGTTTTGGATTTATCAGCTGGTTGAACCTTTTCACAATATTCTAATTTAGTTTAGATGTTTTCATCAGCTGTAAGCCATAAACATCACAATTATAACAAATAACGGCTTGAAATATCTGGCTTTTGAAGTGAATTACTGACATAAACAAACTTTTAACCATATTCTATTTTTTTATTTTCACCTGTAAATGACAGTCTAAGGCACATTTAACACAATTCTTTAGTTTTTAACTAAATGATAAATGACCCGCACTTGTATAGCACCTCTCAGAGTAAGGACTCCAAAGCGCTTTACACTACAGTGTATCATTCATCCATTCACACACGCATTCACACACTGATGGTGATGAGCTACGATGTAGCCACAGCTGCCCTGGGGCACACTGATAGAGGCGAGGCTGCCGAGCACAGGCGCCACCGGTCCCTCTGACCACCACCAGCAGGCAAGGTGGGTTAAGTGTCTTGCCGAAGGACACAACAGCAGAATTCTCTGTCCAGAGCCGGGATCGAACCTGCGACCTTCCGATTACTGGACAACCCGCTCAAACTGCTCAACCTGTTGAGTTACTGCTGCCCACTACTGAAGATCAGCATGAAAACAAAGAACTCTTGAGATTGATGACATTTTCTGTGTTTTTAAACATCTGACCAGTCAAATCTCTTTGGTCCAAAAGCAAGAAAACAGCTCTCTTGAATCAATAAAGCTTCTGAAATGATAAATCTTCAGAGAATAAAGTTGCCTTTGTTTGAACTTTGGACAAGAATCGTGTTGCAATGCAATTCTTTGCACATTCATGGTTGGTATTTAGTCATTTGCACCTTAATGCGGCATAGTTGCAGTCCCAGTACTGGAATTTCAACCCTTGCACCCTTCAATTGTATGTTCTTGTCCAGGAGTGCGAGTGCGTAGATTGTCCTCAGCGCAACCCTGACGATTCTGGCAGCACAACACATCCAGCAGGTCCCAAAGTCAGACAACTCAAGCTCCACTTTGATCCTGCACCGGTTGTCAGAGGTGACTTGGGAGAAGGGGGAGCACACACAAGAAGAGACATCCAAACCTTTTATTCTCACCTATAAATAACTGGCTGTTCAGCTGAAGATGAATTAGTCCATCAGCAGGAGCTTCGTGTGCGACGGCAGGAAGATCATCCACTCGTAGCAAAGCCTCCTTCACGTTTCGCTCGGCTCGCACGCTGTGCCACTGGTTGTCATTTAGTGGGAAGCTGGTTTCAACTTTTACCTCCAGAGGCCCGTTCCCCACATCAAATGAGAAGACGACTTCTGTGGAAGCTGACAAAAAGTAATATATCAGATGAAATGTGTCAAAAACTTCTCAGTAGTGTTTAAAGGAGGTTGGGATGCTACAGCGACTGACAAACCCATTCTTGGAGTCCTAAAGGACAAAAGTAAAAACTGACATCAACTGCTGTTCTCTGCATTTTTTTCTGGGAACTGGAAATTATTAAACATGGATCTGGTCAGTTGGTCTTTCAACGCGATTGACAAAATCTTTTCAACAATGAGAACGGGAGAAGGGGCTCCCGGATGTCCCTCTGGGACAGAACCAGCTGGGTATATCATGGACTCCAGGAAACAGTGGAACTTGATCTGCCTCTCTCAACTGTCTGTAGAGGATTCTGAAGATGTCTGGATATTCGTGGTGTTGGTTTCAGGATCTCTGCTGTTTGGCCTGAGCGGTTACCTGGCATACTGGAAAATTAAGGAGCTTTCGAGGAATATTGGCTCAATCCCGGAGCTCAGGGATGGAATACATCGTGGTGTAAACTCACAGACTCATATAATTGTCGAGATGAGTCGTGTAACGTGAGGAAATATGGGTTTTCTGTGCAAAAGGTCATTTGACTCGGCTGGGTCAATAGCTGGGTAAACTTGGAACTTGGGCTGAGATTCAGGCTCTGGCACAGAAGGTTGATTCGATCAAGGAGAGAGTTGACGGATCAGCATGGATTGGAATAGTTTGATAACGCCATTATTGGACCTCGATGGGTTGTAGACCGACAGAACTCTAAGGCAGAGAGGAAATGATCTCCGTCAGTCCCCAAAATAATTCTTACTATCTGAATCTGGTGCCCTTGAAGCCTTTGGGGCTGAAGTGTAAACTCCCCTCAGAAAATATGTGGAATGCTGCTGTCGCTATGGAAACTCTTTCTCCCTATCCCAGCCTGGGCGGGACTGTGACCGGTGAAAGCCGTGGAACCATCTCTAGGAGTCAATGTGCTCTCTAATCCCATTATCTCCCTCCCCGGTCCAAACAGAGGTGGTGAGCGCTGCTCTGCGCCTGCGCACTCTGAAGTGAGGAGAGTCCCAGAACCTTCTATCCCCACCTAGTGGAGACTTATGTTGTTTATCGTCTGAAGTCTGTGCGCATATCTGTCTGAGGTGTTTTTTTTTGCATAGCAGAGCTACCCTCTCTGAAGTGCCTCCCCCCCCCCCCCCCCGACTCTATCCTCATGTAAACCCACTTGATCTTTAACGATAGCGCGACTCGTGCTGCGAATGACCACGGTCAACAATTCTTGTCATGTGTCTATGTATGTATGTCTGATCTTGGGATTGTCTGTACTGAAAATTGAATTTCCGTCTGGGATTAATAAAGTATTTTTAAACTGAACTGAATTGAATTGAATTGAATTAAGGCAGGGCTATTCAATTCTGGGCTTCAGGGGCCGGTATAGCACGTTTAAGTTTTAACCTGGTGATTACCAGGGTTCTGCAGAGCCTGATGAGCTGCTGCACAGGTGACGCAACCACTGAATCTAGTGTGTTGGAACAGAGAAACCACTCAAACATGCTGGCCCTCGAGGCCCGGACTTGAATAGCCCTGGCTTAAGGTTTTGGCTAATGAAGTTTCAGTTTCTGTTAGTGGTTACGTTTTCCGTGATCCAAAGCTTGATCAACAAAATCTGGTATCATCACTGGTGGAGTCGTTACAGGAAGTAAGTTTGATTTATCAGCAACACAATGAGCTTTTACCAAACGGGAACCTAGGACACCCAGAACTGCTCCCAACAAGGAAGTGGCAACAATTGCAGTTCCACCCTCATCTAAAAGAGTCTGGCACCAGAAGCAAGCAAAACCTGATTGACTCCCATGTTAAAAATGACAATTTCACAGCAGAAATGAACATGTTTACAGCCTAGTTCAAAACATATTTAAGGTTTAATAGATCTAGTTTACAGTCATGACAGCTCTGACGGGGGTGATTTTGTTTTTGTAACTCTTCCGTTTAGATGTAATTAAATACTTTCAATTATGAATAAATAGATTTGATTGACAGGTAACATGAAATGTCAGAGCTAGCGCTAGTGGCTACCTCCAAAAAAATGATAAACGATAGATGACCCGCACTTGTATAGCGCCTGTCAGAGTAAGGACACCAAAGTGCTTTACACTACAGTGCATCATTCATCCATTCACACACACATTCACACACTGATTGGGATGAGCTACAATGTAGCCACAGCTGCCCTGGGGCACACTGACAGAGGCGAGGCTGTCGAGCACAGGCACCACAAGTCCCTCTGACCACCACCAGCAGGAGAGGTGGTTAAAGGCTTCAGACTGGGTCCCACATTAAAAGATGTTTGGCCATTTCGACTGTCTAAACTTAAGCTGTGTTTATGTACTTGATTTATTCCTGTTTCAGGAAGTAGAAGTTATTTCCATAACACCGGAGGAGAGGTGTGTTTCAAACAGCTGGATTTGGAGTTTTATTTCCTGATGTTCTGACATCTTGCCTTTGATTGGCTAACAGCAATGCAACTCTACCATTGACTGTTTGCTTTGCAACATTGATGCTTTCTCACCACAAATGACACAAGCCTGAATACAAGCCTGAAGGAGCCCTTGAGAAAATAGTGGCCAATCGAGCGTGAGTATCTAAACACTAATGATCTCTTTGAGGAATTTCAGTTTGGTTTTAGAGAGTATCACAGCACTGAAACTGCATTAGTGAGAGTTACAAATGATATTCTCATGGCCTCAGACAAGAATCTTGTGTCTGTTCTAGTCTTGTTAGATCTAAGTGCTGCCTTTGACACTATTGATCACAATAATGTTTTAGAAAGGCTTGAACATGTTGTAGGGATCAAAGGAACAGCGCTAGGCTGGTTTAAATCCTACCTGTCTGATAGATTTCATTTTGTTAATGTACATGACAAATCTTCTTCATACTCCTGGGTTATTTGTGGAGTACCACAGGGTTCAGTGCTTGGAGCAATTATTTTTCTATATATATGCTTCCAATTGGTAAAGTCACTAGACAGCATGGGATAAACTTCCACTGTTATGCTGACGATACTCAGTTATATCTATCCATTAACCCTGATGAACCTAATCGGTTAGTTAGATTACAGGCTTGTCTTGAAGACATAAAAAATTGGATGGCTCAAAACGTTCTGCTTTTAAATCAAGACAAGACTGAAGTTCTCATCTTTGGACCAAAAATTCTGAAAAAGGAAATTTCTTAGTCAATCGCCTGACCTGAACAGCATTTACTTAATCTTGGAGAACAAAGTAAAGAACCTTGGTGTTATCTTTAACCACGGCATGTCATTCAAATCCCGCGTTAGACAAGTTTGTAGGATTTCCTTCTTCCACCTCCAGAATATTGCTAAGATTGGAAGCATCCTTTCCAGGAGTGATGCTGAAAAACTAGTTCATGCATTTATTACATCAAGACTGGATTACTGTAATTCATTACTATCAGGAAGTCCACAAAATGTAGTTAAAAGTCTTCAGCTTGTCCAAAATGCTGCAGCTAGAGTTCTGATGAGAATAAAAAATAGAGATCATATCTCTCTTGTCTTAGCTCCCCTACACTGGCAGCCTGTTAAATTCAGAATAGATTTTAAGACCCTCCTTCTCACATATAAATCTCTTAAACTAGGCTTAAAACATTTTTATGTGATAGGGCCTATTATTAAATTCTGATGTAAGACCATAGAAAAGGTTTCTTTTTACCTTGCTGACAGTTTCGTTCGCAGCTGCAAACGTCCTCAGAGCTGACGCTGATGGTGGCGTCATTTCCTGCTCTGTTTATCCGCGGGCAGCAGAGGACGTTGTCGCCCTCTGCTGCCCGCGGATAAACAGAGTAGGAAGTGACGCCACCATCAGCGTCAGCTCTGAGAAAGTTTGCAGCCGCGAACGAAACTGTCAGCAAGGTAAAAAGAAACCTTTTCTGTGTTTTAAAAAAGAACCAACAATGCAGTTAGAAAAGCAACACAGCAAGAACAAACCAAAGATGATGTAAGACCATGTTTGGACAAGTGGGCGAGTAGAGGGAGGTGGAGAACACAGTCGGTAAAGACGGCTCTCCTTTGCCCTGCATCCAACATGCCTCCATCTAAAAGGCTAGGTTATCCAGAGTTATCCCTTTAGTTATGCTGCAATAGGCTTAGACTGCTGGAGGACACACTACGTGGGGTAGCAGTAGCTCAGGTGGTGGAGCGGGTTGATTAATGATCGGAGGGTTATGGGTTTGATTCCAGCTCCCGCCAGAGGTATAATGCTGTTGTGTCCTTGGGCAAGACACTTCACCCAACTTGCCTGTGTTGGTGGTGGTCAGAGGGGCCGACGGGACCAAATGGCAGCCTCGCCTCTGTCAGACCGCCCCAGGGCGGCTGTGGCAACAAAGCAGCTTACCATCACTGGCGGTGTGTAAATGTGAGAGTGCATGGAAGTGTGTTTGAGTGTCCTAAACAAGCGCTATATAAGTTAGATGTATTATTATACTGACCACTTTCCACACTCGACTACTTTCTTCTACAATCTGCTCTTTAACTGTATTATTTCCTGCTATTTCAGCTGTTAACTTTATTTTTTCTCTAAGTGTTTTTCTCCCCAGAAGAAGCTACAATGATGTTCTGCTGAGCTGTGGTAGCCTCATGGAGGGGGCCATCGGCTTGAACACTGCTGCTAACCATTAAAACATTCTCCCTCTCCTGATAATAACATTTTACTTTCGTTGACGTTGGAATGTGCTACTACTAGTTTACCCATTTAATTATAGATTCACTAGAATAAATACAATAAAGTTCATCTCCTACTAAATAGAAATCACAATGTATCCAGAGAAAGACTACTTGGTATACAGGTGCTGGCCAGTAAATTAGAATATCATCAAAAGGTTGAAAATATTTCAGTAATTCCATTCAAAACGTGAAACTTGTACATTATATTCATGCAATGCACACAGACCAATGTATTTCCGATGTTTATTACGTTTAATTTTGATATTTATAGGTGACAACCAATGAAAACATCAAATC